TTCATGCAAATGATAAATAGAATTTTAGCTTCTTTTAAAAACTATTTTTAAATATTTAAGAATAATGGTTATTGTTGCATATTTTAGATAGAAATTAAGACAAAAATCAAATAAGTTTTTTTATAAACACACCCCGTTGATTAACAGCCGAGAGAAAGTAGTAAAGAATATATTTTTTTAAAATTATACTCTCTATTATAAAATAATGTGCTCATTATTTTATAAGATTCTAGAAAGTTATACACAAATATGTGGGTTATAAAATATTTGAATTACATAAGTAATGGACAATTTTGTTATTTATTACTTATATCAAAAAATAAATACATATGCATATCACGAACTGATTAAAATACATACTAAATTGGAAATATATTAATCATGTGCGTTCAGTCATGATCAAGAATTTCCGTCGAAAATGTTGTTTCCACTACTACGTTATATTTTTTCTGAAATGCGAATTACTACTTCAATAAAGTACTTGACATTAATCATCAGTAGACTTCGGATTATATGCACGGAAAATTTAAAAAATATGCGCATATATATGCACGGATTTTTGCAAAAACATGCAAAAATTTGTACAAATTTGCAAAGAATATGCAGATATATATTTATAATCTATAAATATTTATTTTTTATAATATTTCAAATCTGTAGGAATAAATGCAAAATGAAATAGAAAATAAAAGAAGCTTTAATCAAATAATATATATTTTACAAATACAAAATAAATAATCACGATATTCAAAAATATAAACTTTATTTGTACATATAAACTTATATTTAAACTAAACTTATATTTAAGAAAATTAAATGTAAATTAAATTTTTTATTGAGAGTTAAAACAATATATTATTAAATGTTTTTCAAAATTTTCCAAAAGAAATCTATGCCTTCTGTCTGAAAATAAATATTTAAAAATGGAAAAAGAACGTTCAACATCTACAGATGTTATCGGGGCATTTTTAAGTTTACTAATTAATTCAGGGATAAGAAAGTTAATGTCGTTATCATCATTAGCAATTAATTCGCCTTTCAAAATTCTATTAACTTTAGTTAGTAGCTTGTAACCTACATTTTTTTCCAGAACGTCATTAAATTTTTTAAAAATTGTCGCACCAATTTTACCTTTAACATTTTTACATGAAATTCCGAACTCTTCGATTAATTCAATTGATTCTAACAAACTCATCCCTTCTTTTTCCAATTTCTCAATTATTTTTGCCACGAAACTGTAATTGCTTTTAATAAATCCAAGTTGTTGTTGAATTTCGGACTTCTTAAATAATTCTATGCAATTTTCAATTGCAAAGCTCGAATTCGTAAGAGCAAGAATAATATTCATTATAGGATTGTAATTATCTGCATAAAAAAGAGCCGCCGTCAGCCATGTACCCCATCTTGTTATTATAGGTTCAGGAGGAAGTGGAGTATTGGGAAGTTGCTCTTTGTACAATTGAACCCGTAGAGAAGCTTTCAAAAAGGTTTTTTTTACGTTTTTAATCAAATCATTAATTAATGGAAATTGATTCCTAATTTCTTCAGCTACACGATTAAGACCGTGAGCTAAGCAACTGACGTGGATTAAATTTTCATAAAATATTTTTAAATTTTGGCCAGCTTTAATCATATATGGTGCGGCATCTGACAATAACAGTAAAATTTTTTGAGAAGGCACATGCTCGGGTAAAAAAAATTCTGGCAATCCGTCTTGAATGAAGCGAGTTATTATTAAATTGTTTGTTTTTTCAAGCTGTTTTGACGATATTAAATATGACTTACTTACGTTATCTTCGCAAAGAGAACCTATCAATAAATGCGCAATATACCGACCACAACTATCGGTAGTTTCATCCACTATAAAATAAATATAATTGTTGCCTATAATCTGTCTGATTTTAGATATTGTTTCGGCATAACATGAATTTACTAATTTTTTTCGTAATGTACTTTTATCAGGAATATGTTGTTTACAATATTTTTTAAGAAATAATTGAAAATTTATATTGTTTAACTTATTTAAAGGAATATTTGAAGCGACTAGAGCTTGACATAAATCTTTGTTGAACACTTCTTGTTCGGCCAGTTTAGAATTATTTTTTAAGCATTGGCCTAAAGTTTGGTGAAGAGCAGTAGACTTTTTAAATTTTTCGCATTTTCCAATATGTGAAGGAGTCTTAGCGTGCTGATCTATTAAATATTTTCTGTCACGGGATATCTGAAGCAGCGATTTTAAAATAAAAATAATATTTCTTATTTGCAGAATTATTTTATGTCTTGTATATACAGTCAAAATTTCAAAATATATTTAATATTATATAAATAAGGCTAATATTGATTTATAATTTTAAATGATTAATATAATAAAATAATTACGTATAATTGCAGCAACAAAGAATTTATAATTAATTATTACAACAATTAAAAATGATAATTTAATAATAATTAAAATTTATACTTTTGAATCCTTTTTTACTATAGCTAAATAAAAACATTGTTTTCTTTTCGATACTTACAATTTTACCGCATGCTCTGCAGAATACTTTATCTTTATCCAGTACAAGCTCTGGATATGGCTTAATCCATGTTAATATCTTATTGTTAGACATATTTATTTCGTCAATAATTTATCGAATTTATAATTTCACCTACTTCACACGGAGTCTAACGGAAGAATGAATAGCTCCGACTTTCAGCGTCAAGAATAGTTGAAAAAGAATTAAAAATGACGATACGGGAGACAATAGAAGGAGACAAATGATACAAGAAACAAAAATGAGTTCGAGATTGGGGTTTTTTTTTTTAACTGAAAAGCAGTAGAAACCCAATTTTTATTGCGTTCTAGAAACGTTTCTCTTAATTTTATATATCTTTTATTTAAAATGAATTTTAAACACGTAATATGATCTAGAATTTCATTTTTATATTACTTCATTAATTTTTCCGTTTTGGATAGATATTTTAAGCAAAAATTAGAGTTGTATTCAATTATATGCAATAAAATATGCAAAATTTATGTAAATATGCAAACTTTTTGAAAATATGCAAAGATTGAGTAAATATGCAAAATATGCAAAAATTAATTCACATTAATTAAATGTAAATATTATAATTTCTCCATATTATTAGAGCTCTTGTAAAATATGCAAAAAATAACAAATATGCAATTTGCATATAATCCGAAGTCTACTCATAACATAGGCTACGGTCGAGAAGACGCTAGAGATACTTCGATGCATTGCATTAACCAATAAGAATAAAGAAATTGTTACTCTCTTTGCCCTGATTGGTCAATCAAACGCTTCAGAGCACTTCTAGCGTCTTTCCGACCGCAGCCTTAATCACCTACATGAAGCTAGCCGGAAGAAATTATTAAATATGATTATTTTAAATTTTTCTGAATGTATTTCGTTTGTAAATCGTTTGTGATTGATTGTGTCTGATCTTAACGTTTGTGATAAATTAGGTTTTTTGTAATTAGCAATTTTAGTTTGGTCATGATGTTAGCTGGAACTTTTTAATAACAAACAGATTTTGTGATAACTGAAAACTGTAATTGATAGGAAATCGTTTGTGATTTACAAATATACCAATGTTACTTACATGCAAAATTAGTTTTTTTTTATAATTGTAGTGCGCATGCGCAAAGTATACTCAGGGCTCCTGCCCACGGAGAGCGTGTTGCTCTCTTTGGGCAGGTAAAGTTATATATAAGAAGGTTAAGTCACGAGCATCCAGAAACCCATAATGCATTGCAAAGAATCGGCGTGTGCGCAATCGCTATTGAAAAGAGATGCTAAATATTAAAAAGGGATGCCAAATAAGGTAGACTTGTTATTGGCTCTCGCGGCCTTTCGCAATGCATCATGGGTTCTTGAATGACATACACAGTTTCAATATATGACTTAACCTTCTTTTATATAATCTTATGGGCAGGAGCCCCTTAGAACATATATAAATGGAAGGGGAATAGCAGGCTGAAAAGTGTCGGAAGGAAGTGAAAAAGAAAATCGTAGTTGCCTCTCTCTTGTGAGTAACTACGCATACAAGCATCGTGTCTGTAGATATACATACTTTTGTGTACACACACATGTGACTAATGTAACCTTATTTTTCATTGGGCCAAACCTAATTATTTGAATACATATTGATATATTTTTGGTAGAAAATATATTCAACCTGGAGGAAACTGTATTTGAAACTGAAGCTTTCGATACTCGTTGTATTACTGCTTTTTCTCGTAAACTGCTTAATCTCAATTTCCGCAAGATTCGTAATCATACGTTATCATGTCTATGTTGACAAATATCTTTTTCTCTGAGTGTGCAATTATTGCAGCTGTAGCAGAATATGTATATGTATGTACATACACACGACACGACCGTATTTTACAAAACAGGGGTTCTTAAAACATTATATCATTCGTGAACGCTATTTTATGTGTGTTGACTGCGAATTATGTATATACACGTACGTATTACAAAAAAACTTCGAGAGAGAAAACAGAATTGCCAACAAAGCAATAGCAATATTTATATAGTTCCATGTCACGTATTAATTAAGTACAATTAATTAATACGAATAAAATTGTTTAAAAACCAAGATGCTCGCACTTTAATTCAAATGCAACCGATTATAATTTTCTCTTATATCAAGCGCTTAGTATAAATGCAATTCGTTCCTCGTACATACATACATATATATATATATATATATATATCGATACAATCATATCTTCTTCTTCTTCTTCTTCTTCCTCTTCATGTTTAATTGACCTTCCTAGTCCGACCCTAATAAGATACGATCATATATAATTGTTAGCAAATACACGGTCAACAAATGATCGCGTGTTTAGCGCCAAATGGAGGCGCTAAATGGACGGTTTGCAGACTCGCGCGTGGTCGCGTTCTAGTGATAACTGGTGATAAAATCATCGGCGACGACCAATGGTAGACGAGAGAGAGCATTTCCGCGTATAAACGAGCTTTCTACGCTACGGTATTGCTCCGCTCCTCGCCTCGGTCTTACGTCGGTCGGACTTTGCGCAACGATTGTTTACAAGCGCGCACGGTCCCCTCGTTTGTATCGTATCGCGATACTATATACAGTGGCGTTTGTAAATAATAATCGCGCACGCTCGCTCGTGTGTTGCTGTTGCAATATCCGCATCCGCAGCGGCCGCCCGTCTCATCAATTCCCGCGTGATACCGAGGGATGTGCGCGTCGCGACGCGTCGTACCCCCCGTCGTACTCGTCGTCGCGTGCGTCGTATACGACGCGGGCCCCGCCACATATATCGTGTGTACACCACCGTGACCCACTTGTTGCGTCTAGGTTATGGCGTTATAAACAAAAATATGCTGCGCACAACAGACGCGTCCGTCTTCAGTCGCGTCGCGAGCCGTCGTTCGTCGTGAGGTTTGTCGCGCTAGCTGGCACCAGGGCATGGAGGCTGGCCCGGGCCTGAGCCTGTTTCAGGGCTCCGAGAGCATACAGCTGAATACGGTAGCGCAAAGGCTCGAGGAAGACGAGGAACAGGAAGATAAAAGGCGACGTGAAGGGGAGGTAACGCCGCTCTTTTTTTTTTCTCCGTAGGATTGTTATACACGCTTACAAGTTATATTTCGTGGAGAAGAGATTTGCAGTGTAAAAGCTTCCCTTATAGGGTTTCACTGTGTGCAGAGAAAGAGAAAGAGAGAGAGAAACTTTACAATATATTATTACATTTTTTGCAAAAAAGAAGTGGAAAATAATATATCCAAGTCCACACATTATGTGATGATGTAATAAAATTTTACTGCAGATGAATTTTTTGATATGCTGCTATTATATTCTCTACGCTAGGAAAACTGTACAAAGTCCACTGTGTAGAGTCCTCCTTATCAAGCAATTTCATTATTGTACTTTGGAAGAATAGAATCTGCAAAATATTAAATCTTTATTGTATAAGATCCTGCTGCAAAAAAGTTGATGTACAAGAAAAAGAAACTATATATATATATATATATAATATCTATAGCATATAGTCTTTTTTTCTCTTTTGAAGAATGATTTTGTAATATTGTGTGTTCTGCGGTAACAAACGATAAAAGTTTATAAAAACATGTGCAAATTCTACTATAATTGCTATCCTTCCAGCTCCAGGCTCTCATAACAACGGCGTTTGATGATTTGGAGAATGATGATGATGTCAGTTCTGTCGATAGTAGTCACTATCAAGATGATAGTATCAGAGATATTGATTGCACCAATACAGTAGTCAACTCTGGCCTAGAGTCGGTTACACCTGCCAAAGGTCAGGTAGCGGTAATGCAGAAGGAATTTGATGTTTATAATCGCATGGAGAATTTGAATAATTATGATGACGATATTATAACGAATCACATATCTGATTCCGAAACCGGTGGGACTGTGCAAGCCGATTTCGATTTGTACAGACAAACGGGAACGCCGTACGTTAACAATAAATTCAATGACAACAGCAATAGCAATAGCATGCTGGAGACACCATACGAATTATCAAAACCACCGACTGGATATTCTCGCAAGATGCATCCACAGTCGGTCAAGGAGGCCACCTTTGGCGAAAATTATCCCTACAATTACGAAACACCAGCTAATCATTACAATACTCATATAATCAAGAAATACTCCAACAATGGTTTTATCGATGTGCATGAAAATAATGTACAAAGTAAGCAGATTCACGAGTTCGGCGGAGGCGACAATGCTACCTCGGATCACATGAATCATTGCTATAAGACTAGTCCAAATGGCAGGTCAATAGATGACGATGCAGCGTACAAAACGGCAGAGTATAATAGCAGGGAGCAACTCGAGGTACTGTATAAGGTCAGATTAAGGGAGATCGACCGTTTGACGGATGAGCTGCAACAATTGCAATCAGAAAAAGAAGATGAGAAGAACCAAATGACCAAGAAATTAATGCTGTTACAAGCAGAAATCGACAAAATTAATATCTCCAGGACTCAAGCGCAACGTGCACTTGGTAAGGATGAAAGAAGTTATATAATCATTTGGAGCCTTGAGAAAAAAATACTAGTTTTAATCATCAGTATTAACGATATTATCAAATACATATAATCAAAGTAATCTTAATTATCTTGCCCGTTTAACGATATATAATTAGACTGAACTAATTTTTTTCAGTTGACGCTAAAGCTGAGATAACTGACCTGCAAATGCAAATGGAGTCTCTAAAAGAGAAAAATACAGTTTTGGAGAAGACAAATCAAAACGTAAAATACATATCTGCATTTTATTTCGATTAAGATTAAGTCTTGTAATGTCAACAATATTATTTTATATAGATAACGGAAGAATTGAATATTGCGAGAGACTCTGTCATAGATTTACAGCAGAAGATTGCTATACTGGAAAGAACACAGATGTTGCAAGCGAATGATAAGACACATGAAAAGTTTTTGAAACAGGCGCAAGAGAAACACACAGTGGAAATGAAAAACATGCAGACTCAGATAGATGTTCTTACAGATAAATTAAATGTCAAGGTATTGTCAAACTTTTTATTTAAGCTATTTCTCATATTTCGCATATATATTTTCTCTATAATTATATTTGCCACAGCTGCTCAATATGGACAACGGCAACAATAGTATTTGGGCAAGTCATTATTGATTATTTTTGTAATTGCAGACTATATCTTTTATAGTTTATTCTTCCATATAATTTATTTATTTAAATACATAGAAAAATGATTAATATGAGTGCCTAACAATTATACATTCTTAATACACAATATTTTATTTTTTGGATATATTACTTTGCACATTTATATGTAATGTTAATATATTTAGTTTGCTATATTATTTATCTTTTAAATAGGAGACGTCCTGTGTCGCTCTCGAACATAAATTGGATAATGCTCGAAGAGCGCACGAGGCTCTCATGGTGGAAAAGGGTGACACCATGAATCGATTGGCACAAGCATTGGAAGAAAGTCAAGCCCAATGCCGCAATCTTATGGCTACGAATAGCGCTCAGCAAGTAATGCAGTTACAAGCGCAAGTTAAAATGTTGACTCAGGAAAAGGAAGAGCTGCATAAAACTGTACAAGAATTGCAGGTAATTTAAAAGATTCTATGTTAAATTTGTTCTTTGATTACCCAGAAGATACATTAATTATGAGAAATTGGTTTAGAGAAAAGATTTTTACTATATAATTATTTGTAGAACAAATTGGAAGTGGTCAAGAGCGACATAGCGCAATACGATTCGTTATTGACCACAACCTTGGACGACGAATCTGATTCAATTAGACAGATGAAATTAGGTGAACTTCATAATAAATCGAAATCGAAGCCGGTCGACGATATCACAAATAAATTAAGAGGCGAACTGCAAAGGTAAATAATTGTTCATATATATATATATATTTATCTCGTTTAAATTTTAATTATTAAATATTGTGTTAACAATCGTTTTTTTCTGATGTATACAATGTTACTTTGGTTCAGATGTTTAGCTGGTCAAGCTGTAAAGAGAAAAGAAATAAATCGGTTAGAGAATACTCTATCACAGAAAGAAAAAGAGTTAAACAAAGCTGTAACGTTAGCTGAAACGTGTCGACAGGAAGCGGCGCGGTATGCCAAGCGAATTAACGAATTGGAACAAGAACTGAAATCTGTATTAACAGACGAGGCCATGAAAGCAAATGCTAAGATACAGAAACTGTCGGATCATTTAAACGATGTAAGAAAACAGTACGAATTATTACGTAATGAGAAAATTAGCATAGAACAAAAATTAGAAGAGGCTTTAGCTGTTAACCAAGAGACACTTCATAAAATGCATCAAGAAACTATGGAACAACAAGAAAAAGAAACTATTGATGAATATAATAAAGAATACTTGGAGATACATGCTAAAGCCGTGGAGAGAGTGAAGCAAGAAGCACAAATGGAAATAGTACAATTGTCGTAAGTATTAGTTAATTTGATAAATTCTGAACATTTTTGAATATATATATATATAATTTGATAAAAATGTTATTAATAAATATCACAAGAATATGTATATGCATAAGCGGAATTTCTGTTTTTCCAGCGTACAATTAGAGCAAACGCAGAAAGAATTAAGCCGGGTAAAAGAATTATACATAGATGTATGTGGAACGAAGGAACAATTAATAAATGAGCATAAAAATGAAATCAAAACATTAAAGAGTAAATATACTATAATTGAATTGCATCACAAGGATGTAGAAAAATTAGAGAACGAATTGCAAACGCAGATTAAACTGTGTAATAAATTGACTAAAGAATGCGAAGATTTCAAAAGCAAAATAATCGAGTTGGAAAAAGATCTTGTATATGAAAGGAGAAAAAAGGAGGATCATATGAAAAAGATACATTCTGAAATAGAAAGAGGTTAGTATTAAATACTATAAAACAAAAAATAAAATACCTTGTATAGAAAGCATGATGTTTAAAGTAATAAAAGTAATTTTATTCTAATTTAATCAATATTCCATTTCAAGCAAAAGAAGAAGCGTTATATGAACTAAGAAATGCGCATCCGAATCAAGAAATAAGTTTTCATTTACCAGATCATTGCTCCGAACATTTAGAAAAAATTAATCAGGTATAATTGAATCCTTACAAATTTTCGTATTTTCTTATGCTTTTGTGAATAATAGCGTTCTATTCTATTACAGCTGGAGGAAGATTGCAAGCGCTTGGAAGAGAAACTTCAAATCGCAGTGCAGGAGCAGAAAAAATTATCTGATTATCAAATTGAATTGGACGATGCCAGATTGAAAATAGCGCAAATGGAGATCTCGCAGGAATCGTGGAAGAAGAAATATGAAAAAGTAGTCAATGAGAGAAAGGATCTTCTTGCAAAAATCTCCAAATTAAATCTAGAATTGTCGAATCTAAAACGCACCGCGAAGTTCGAAGATTCGGATGATGTGAAACTGAAGATCGCTCGGTTTCAAACGGAGAACGAGACACTGAAAATTCAGTGCGATAATCTACTTGGCGAAAGAAACACTTACAAGGAGAAAATTTCTGAGCTGGAAACAGAGCTGTTCGATACGAGGAAAAAAATTAACAATTTTGAGGAAAAATTACGGAGAAGCGGTGACATTACACTAAATTCGAAAAGCGAATTGGAGAAGGAGCTCTCTTGTTATAAGGATTTGGTTGCGCAATTATCTAGGATAAATAATTCAAAGGAGGGACTTGTCAATGACCCCGCGATGCTGGAACAGAAAATACAACAGCTTGAGCAGGATTTACGAAGTAAGGATGAAAAACTGAGCAGGCTACTGAAAGATTTTGAGAAAATTAAAGATGAGAGAGATCAGTTGGTAATGAAATTGCGAGATCAAGCCAAGCAATTCGAACAATACGTCAAGAGCCAGAATAAAGTCTCCGCGGAATTGAATCTGTCTCCTCGTAGCACGAGCGATAGTACCGATTTGCAGAAAATGAAGGAGATTATGGCGAAAGAGGTACGAGAAGGGATGGAACAGAAGGTGGCGAAGGAGCTTAGAGGAATTGAGGAGCGGAATTTCGAGAAAAGAAAGGAACTAGAGGAAAAATACAAAACTATCTTCTCGGAGTGGCAAACGAAATACAACGAGAAGAATCAAGAAGTGGCAACTCTGCAAAAGGAAATAATGGCGGAGAGACTAAAAGTCAATCAGATTAGTCAAATTATAAGAAGCAAACTGGAAACTTGCAATCAAGAATTGCAAGCACGAAAACTTCAAATCGAAAAACTGGAAGCGAATTTGAAGAAAAAGGAGAACGAAGTTGAAGAAGATAGAAACTGGATGGCTCAGATGATGACCGGATGGGCCGCTGAGCTTAAAGAAAGTAAAGCCAAGGAGACTGAGAAGGATGGGGAGATAGAGAAGCTGAAATCCAACGAAGAGAAATTGAGCAGCGAAATCAAATTGTTGAAAGATAAAGAGAAACACATGAAGAGCGATATGGATATGTTAAAGCACAAATATCAGAGAGCAAAACAGACTGCGCACAATTATAAGGTGAGTAGAACACATTTGCTAAATTATTTTTTGTTTTATAAAAGATATAATCATGCGAAAAGTATTACATGTTTGAATTTTAGAGTTACGCGGAGCAGAATAGAGAGTTTTTGTCGAGTGAATGCAAACGTATCCAGGAGGGATACAAAAAGGCCCTGAATGAAGTACAACAAAACTTATCGGCGTGCAACGAGAAGTACGCCGCAAAAGTCAAGGAACTTGAATCAGTAAACAACAGAGAAAATAGAACAAATGCGACTGGAGTACAAAAATAAATGTTGAAGTATGTATTAAGTATTTTCTAAATATATGCAATATAGCTTTTTTCCAGTTAAGATAATATGTAGTAACAGAGGCTAGATATCTTTTTGTCTGTAATGTAAAACACATTATTGGACAACACCTTATTAGCAGAGTTTTACAGAGCTAGGGGGACCAATATATACATATAAGTAAAAATTGATATAATATCTCCCGGTAGAGTTATTACCGCGTTTGCTTGCCAATCTTCATTCACGGAAGCGGCGAACGTTAATTTTGTAGCTCTATAGCTATAAACATCTGAAGTACAATTATCTGGTTAATTGTCCAAGTACTGTAATTGGATAGTAACGTTTATACATATTATTAGTCGATACGACAAACGTAAAAATAGGAAGAAATCATTTTTACATTAACCAATATATATATAACACACACACACACACACACACACACACACACACACACACACACACACACACACACACACACACACACACACACACACACACACACACACACACACACACACACACACACACACACACACACACACACACACACACACACACACACACACACACACACACACACACACACACACACACACACACACACACACACACACACACACACACACACACACACACACACACACACACACACACACACACACACACACACACATACACACACACACACACATACACACACACACACACACATATATTATATCACAATATTTTAATAACTCGTCTATAATTTAAGACGAAATGAGATATAATAAGATGATACAAACAAAAGGAAAAGCTTTAGTCATGTGTTTCTGCAGAGCATTATTATGACATAATATGCAAGACTGGATCTCTATTGAATCTTTCTCTCTTTTTTTTTTCTTATGAAAATAAGCGATAAAGTGGGAAAATCAAAATATATAGACATTAAGAAAAACTTTAATTTTCATTCCTTGTAGGAAATTAAAGTACTGTACCAATATAATTCTCTCTCTCACCTCTCTATCAAAGTTTATCTTCGAATATTAGGAATTCGTTTACATTTTATACGCATGTCGCGTTAGAAGGGATAATCATAGATAATTAAGATTGTACAAAGTATGATTTTTACAATATAGGAATTTACTTTACATATAAAAATTCTTGTAATTAAACGAAAAATCCGAATTGTATTAAAGATTTTCTAATGCGTTAAGCAGCAGGACTGAATAACAAAGATCTACATTATCCTTAGTCTTAAGTGACTTAATGTGTATATTTAAATAATTATAACGATAGCTCTCGAACGCGAAGCATCGAAGGCGTTCGTCTTTCTTCTTTACATTGAAAATTTGACGAAACGTTTAATCGAACGAATAAGACGCCATAATTCAATTGACGAACTATTTCAATTTTTGTAATTTGCTTATTTTATTATGCAATTGTGTGCAATCTCAGAAAATGGCCAATTATACATATATCGTATCGGCTTATAAGAGTATAATATAAATTAAATAAAACCTTGTATATCTCTATATGTGAAGATCTTGGTAAGATTGTTCGATACACATTCGCGTATATCGTACGTTTAAATAGATAATATTAATTTACCAGTGTCATCACTGGATATAGAGAAGTATTATTAATATTAATTAGTTATTGTATTTTTGTATATGTAGAAGAATTAATTTATTTTTTGTAATAAAGAATTTATGTCGCTGTCGAAAAATATTGTCACATTATTATTTGATCTTACTCTCCAGGATAATATAACTATATAATCTTTGATGAGTGTGTGTGTGTGTGTGTGTATGTGTGTGTGTACACATGCATATCTTTGAAATAAATATAAAAGATAAACTAACACAACTGTAATCTGCTAATGAACATCTGCTGTATTAGAAAATATTATGATAAAAGTGTGTTAAAAATTATATCGAGAGAGAGAGATAATTGATTTAAACAAATTGTATATCATAAATAACAAATTCACCGTTTATTTAAGCTTATAAAACTTCATGTATCTTTCTCTCTTTCTATACATATATATTATATAACTTTTTTATGCAAATAACATTTGAAATAAATATCCAAAAATAATTATTAATGTCAAACAGCTTTAACTGTATCGTTAAGATTTGGGAGAAGAGTACCTCTTAAAATTTTGTGTAAAATGACGCAACGTGAATAGATACAGCCTACAATACCCCCAGCGATGTGGGCTTCAAAGTTTATCCGTTTGTTTCACGACACCCTATATAAAACGCGGAGACGTGACGATAACGGAGTAGAGTTAGTCGGAGATCGGAGGTCGGAGTACTGGTGTATTATAACGGTTCAGGACCAGGAGCGTTCTCCAGTGAGTGCGCGAATCTCGTCGAGGCCGAATCATGGACTTACAGGTGAGGATGTTGCTGCTGCTCGTGGTCGCGCTGTATCAGCCGACGATGCAGTTGACATTTCGAAACAAATTCGCCAAGAGCCGGCAATCAACAGTCAATTACGACGCGCCACTGCATAGCACCAGATACAAATACGAGATCAAAACGTTCGATGTGCGCGTAAGTTATGTATGCTCCATTATTACACGTACATACACATACACAATATATATATATATATATATACATATATGTTACTATATTTTTTATCCTATTAATTATTATTAAAAACTATTAACTACAAAATATTCACTTAAAAAGTATTAATTAACTTATAATTAATGGACTTATTATTTATTATTAATTATACTACTATTAATTTTACAATGCATTTCAAGGTGGATCACTTTAGTTTCGCCGTACAGGACACTTTTAAGTTGAGATATCTCTTAAATGATACTTGGTGGAAAACAGAAAATGCTCCTATATTCTTCTATACTGGAAATGAAGGTAGAATTGAAGTTTTTGCAGAGAATACGGTAAGGGCAATCATCAATTATTTTTACATTTACTAATTAATACGTGATATTGCATTATCCAATTGCTCAATTAACCACAGTGTAGCGGCTTAATTAAAGGAAATGTTGATTATATGTTTTTATCGCGCGTTTGCATTGCGATAAGTTTCATGAGAAACACAATATTTCTAAGACTGATTCTTCTACTCTAATGCATAAAGAAAAATATATTTCAATTGTTATTATAATAAAGTTGAAATTAACATTAAAGAGAACGAAATATAAAATAGATTGCATAAAATATAGATCGATCCTTTTATAAAATACGATCCAGTCTTCTATATGTTGCTTTAGTTTGATTTTTTTGAAAAAATTAATTCGGATTATACTTACTTGGCATATAGGGCTTTCTGTGGGAAATCGCCCCGCAATTCGGTGCATTAGTAATTTTTGCCGAACATCGTTACTATGGCGAATCGCTGCCCTATGGAAACCGATCCTTCGCAGATCCGCGGTATCTCGGATATCTAACATCTCAGCAAGCCCTAGCCGATTATGTGGAGCTTATTGGATATCTGAGATCGAAACCAGGATACAATCGCAGTCCAGTCATAGTTTTCGGTGGTTCTTACGGTGGTATGCTTAGCGCTTGGATGCGTATGAAGTATCCTCACATCGTTCAAGGGTACGTTTTATATCATGAAACGATAGCGATATCTTATTTATATAGCTAGAAATATATGAATGTATAGAAGAAAGATATCATGTAATTATGTTATAATATATTTAATGCTGGATGAGACGATAATCAATGGAGTTAGATGTAAAGAAGCACGCAATAACACGTCTAAAAATTAATTTTATCAACATAAATCAATTTCAGATATTTAAAAGTTTGAATTTGTTCAATCTCTTAGAATTAAGTACTTATGAAATCTGTATTAAAAACAGATTAGGTATATATAATAGAAAACTGTTATTAATATCTAAAAATCTATATATTTTGGATATTAATATTTATATATAAATATATAGCATAGTTTTATATGTACAAACACAATCTAAAATGAGATGTATAGTACAAATCCATTAAAAAAATGACTCACACATCGTGCCGAGATTGTAAATAATATTACCAACAATATTGTGTTGCAGTGCGATTGCAGCCTCCGCGCCAATTTTGCAATTCACCGACATCGTGACATGTGAGGCTTTCGCTCGAATAGCAACGTCGGATTTTAATATTTCGAATCCAACGTGTCCACAGCTTATCCGGAAAGCATGGAGCACGATAACCGAGGTGACTTCGAATGGTAACGCAATAATTCGCTTATAATTCAATGGATTTATTCGCTCATTATTTCTTTGATTCCTGTCATTCTCACGCTTTAGACGAGGGTAAAAAGTGGTTGTCAAATAATTGGAAGTTGTGCGACTCGCTGAAGACTGCAGAACATGTCCAGATGCTGAAAGATTTCCTGCAGGAAGTCTATATAAACCTGGCTATGGTCAATTATCCATATGAGACTAACTTCTTAGCGCCGCTGCCGGGCAATCCAATTAACGTAAGCGCTTCGAATCTTGAGTTTCCTTTCAGTATGAATTAGTCCGATAAATGTAAAGTCGTCCCTAGAAAAAATATCTACTCTGATTTAAAGGTTTCCTATCATTTAGGTTTTTTGTCAACACTTAACGAATTCTTCGTTGACGGGAAAACCATTGTTATCGATGCTTTATCGCGCTATTAATGTTTACACAAACTATACCGGTAAAGCGAGTTGCATCTCTACAAAGAATGCGGAGCCGGGCTTGGATGACCAAGGATGGGATTATCAGGCGTGCACAGAAATGGTGATGCCGATATGTACCGATGGCGTCAACGACATGTTCGAGCCGGCAGAGTGGAATTTCAAGGAATACAATAATACCTGCTTTAAGAAATATTCAGTATCGTCGCAACCTTATCTGGCTTGCCAGCAATATGGCTGTAAAAATCTTAACACTGTGACTAACATCAATTTCAGGTATATAAAGAAAATAATATTTATAAAAGAATAAGAAAAATATTTAAATCTTTTTCAATCGTATCTTCTATATACAGGGTGGGCCCAAACGTTCCGGCCAGACTTTGAGATTTTATAGGAAATTTAATTCTGAATAAGAAGTTTCCGATAAGCACGAGTCTAAAAATGCTTCCTTGAAAAGTTAGCGCCCAAAAATCTCTGAAATCGCGGTTATTTTATATATTTTTACAAATATCAGGGAAAATCATTTTGATCTTATTTGAAAGATAATATAATTCTCTACAACTTCTGTTTCGATACTTTTTGTTAAAAAACGCATACTTCCCCTGATATTTGTAAAAATGTATAAAATAACCGTGATTTCTGAGGTTTTGGGGCGCTAACTTTTTAAGGAAGCATTTTTCGACGCATGTTTATCGGAAACTTTTCGTTCAGAATTAAATTTTCTATAAAATCTCAAAGTCTGGCCGGAACGTTTGGGCCTATCCTGTATATGATGTTATTTCTAATCTTGATTTTCTGCATTTCTTCTGTATTGTTATCGTTGTTTTATCTTTATAATTTTATTTTATTTAGGCAAATATTCTAACATTTCTCCATTTTGATTTCTTCGTTTTACACTTTTACTTGTTCTCTCCATTTCTTATATATTTTTTTCTTTTTTTAGCAATGGATTGCTAGATCCATGGGCGAGCGGAGGCGTGTTGCGCAACTTGTCCTCGTCAGCGATCGCCATCCTGATACCGGATGCCGCGCATCATCTCGACTTACGAGAGAGCAACAGCAACGATTCGTACAATGTTATCGTGACGCGCAAATTCCATCAATACTCCATCAAGAAGTGGATCGCAGAATATTGAAAAGTTTTATCCCGGAAATAACTTTTGCCGGCCTGTTTGAAATTCTTTTTCTTTATTTCTGAAATTATAAATACAAAAACAGGACACGTACGCCGCGACAAACAATAAATAATCAATGCTGCCGCGTAGACTGATTATTGATAACGCTAAACAAAGCGTTGACAAAAACTTAATCGAAAATATACGCGAAAGTATTTTGGTATCACAGTAAATAATAAATGCACATGATTCGTCGGGCATTCTAAAAGAGTTACGAAATAATATAAGATGTTCTCAAACAACGCGAAAATCTAAAACATCTGAAAAAAATGTCTGGTCTCTTTCCGACATGTTCATGATACATTTCAGACATTTGCGTTGCCTAAAATCTCTTGTTTCAAATCTAATATCACTAAATTACGTAAAAATGGCTACTTTATCAAATAAAAACTCGTAACACTATCGAGATTATTTGACACTAATACTCGACATTAATTACAATAGAAATATGCGCACTATATTATTCATAATTTTTATCTCTTTATCGCTTTATATAATTTTTGACGCGATGTTTATTCGAAGGAATTATGTAGAGTGTAAGCGAGAACAAAGCTACCAAAGATATATACGAATTTCTAAATATAGAATAAATTTTTTTCTTGAGAACGTCGGATTTTAAACGGAATCCATAAATATTGTGTAAATATATTGTGATTTTATATCGTCAATTTTCTTAAACTCTCGAGTCCTTTTTATTCCGCAGGTACAGTATGTTTCCATTTTTCTAACGGACTTATATCGTTTTTCGCAATCATAATCTCTCTCTCGCATATATTGTTAATAAATAAAAATGTACTTGTAATAATTTAAACAAACAATTCATGTGTGTGCTTGTATTTTGGGGTGCTATATTATATTCTAAAGTAAAAATAAAAAAATCGAACACTTTTAGATAAAATACTTATGTGCCTCTTATGTGTTTCCAAATAAATTCGAAAGGAATGCGTTTTAAGGTTATGCTGATCTTTTTACTGATCTGTTAAAATATTCTCAATTAACTGTATTCGTGATGGATAAAATCGAGCATCTTTCTCATATATATTATATCTGTATTAAAAAATCACTAAACTCTAAAAATGATATCGCATAGAAACATTAAGATGGATATTATCTCTAATCACACATATGAATATCGAAATATATTGCGTGATTATCCGAACGAACGTGGATACGTAAATCTCCCCAAAAAATTGATCTACAAAAAGAGAAAAAAATATAAGAAAAATAAACCTCTGTGATTCCATGACTTTTTCAATGTGGTGTACGTCGATGCGCCGTAGTTGGTCGGGGGACGCCAGATCGGCTCCGCACTTTCTTCGGTTGCACGAACGTATTGTCTATTCCAGTGTTGTAAGAGAGATATATGTTTGACATGTCTGGCGGTATTGCCTGTGAACGGAGAGATTTTTATGTAATATGTTTCATAATATTTGAAGCTTTTACGAGCGAGATTTTGAGAAAAAAAATATTGATCACAGTCCTCCATACCGAGAAAAATTTGCTCTCTTTTCTAGAATTAAAATAATATGAAATAGTTTTTTACGTCTTTATTATTTGTATGCCACACATTTTAACTGCCATTCTCCGATATCCTCATTCCAATGAACATATCTCTTGATCATCGTCTGTAATGTGTAATGCAGAAATACATTTAAAAAACTGTTTTTTTTTTTTTAATTAAAGGAAAATATAAGGAAAATAATCAATTAATGTAGCTTTAACAGATATTTTTCAGATTCCTTGATCGTTGTTTTCCATTTGGACATTTTAGTTATATTGATCTTTGAAATTCTTATCTTAATTAGGTTAGGTTAGGATTTTTATATCATCTGGAAGAACTCGCACTAAAATATCCACATACCTGATATTGAACGGGAATGTAATGATTCACAATAAGATTCTGTAGTTGCAGCTCTCTACCGATTCCTCGTACACCTTCTAATAGACCTTCCATCTCTCTTTGGTGTTCCTGCTGCAGATCGGATAGCTCCGCTTTGACGGACATCAACATCGTATACACGCGCGCCAATTTTTTTGTTTTCCCAGCCGCTTCCTCTTGCAGAGACGAATACTTCTCCTCAATGTCGATGCGTTCCGCCTCTTTTGCCTTAATGGCTTTCTTTAGTTGTTCTTCTCTGCTCTTTCGTTGCTCAAGTTCAATCGCCGCGGCTGCTAACAATTGCTCCTGAGCTTCTGCCTTCTCCAACAAATTTTCGCCACCCACTAGAATCTTGTTCTGCAAATTTTGCATCTTCTGCCGCAACGCTTCCTTCTCGCTCCTGAAATTAAGGCACTTAATCTTCAAAATTTCTATGTTTAAATCATATTTGTTATTTTATATTGTAAATTTTTTTTTGTCTATGATATTATCTCCTTTCTCTTATTTAAGTAATTTATTTAAGTATATTAAATACATACATTAAAAAAAAACTTACTGAGTTTTTTTCAGTTCGATGACATCTTTGTCCACTGGACTTTTATCATCTCTTTCGGCCTTATCAATTTTCTCCGTCGAATCTGTGTTTCTATTTTCCAACTCCTCCATTGACAATATTTGACTCCGACGAGTCTTCTTATCTCGCTTCGTTTCTTTCGATTCCTCCGAATTCTCGGATTCTTCCTCGGATTCCGAAAGCTCCGCACCGTTCTCTTCCAATTGCTTGCGCAACTGTTCAATCTCAACTTGGAATTGACGAAGTAAAGCGTCCTTTGGGTCCTCATTGATTCTCGCGCGATTTTTGATATTCTTCGCGCGATTCGCGTAACGTAAAGTGCTTATAGTCTCATCGTAATTTATATCTGCTGGACTGATGTTTGCACACTGTAATGATTAGTAATGTTAATAACTTGAAAAAAGAGAATGGACTAATCATAAAATTAATCATTAAAATAATAAATTTGTAATTATTTAAAATAATGCATAAAATATAATTATTATAGTATTATACTTGCCATCAACGTTTTCGAATTTCCACCCAATGAATCCTGAAGCAACCTAGTTAGTTTGGAATTTCTGTAAGGCACATGAGAACTTTGTCCATCAACCAGTGCAGATATTACGTTCCCCAATGTGGATAGTGACAAGTTAATTTTAGTAGCTTCGCGAAGTCGCTGGCCTGTCGCCTTTGTCTTGCTTTGTCTTTCTGATCCCTACAATTCAGCAAATATAAAAAATACAGTCATGAGAAAAAGTTTAAAATAAAATTTATATTGAAAAAATATTTTAATGTTTTGTCAAATATATATACATACGGCTAAATCCACCAAATGAAGTTTCCCCATTTTTACATGCTGCTCTCCGTCTTCACCAATCTGACTAGATTCAACTGTAATTGTAAATATCGCGTGGGATCTGGAGCTAGATACATTCATGGCAGTAGCCCCGACAACACCTGCATTTGCGAGTTTAGGGAAATACTTTTAATATATACATACAATTAATATAGTACATATTACATTATTGTTACTCACGATTTTTATTGCCGAGTGACATTATGCGATCCAAATCGTCGGCATTATTCACTACATATCCGCTTAAATCTTTTACAAATACCCCGATGTCCGGTCTTTCTTTCACTTCCAATCGAGTATTTTGATCCTTTCCAAGCAGATCCCGGACTTCTTCATTGTAAATCTCTAAGTATGTAGCGCGTACGAGGAATCTATTAATATTCATAATCTATTACTAATCATTGAAAATCCAATCAATATATAAAATCAATCAAAGAGAAGTAACTCAACTATGTACATATTTTAATTATACAAATTGTCTCAAAATATATTTTATAGAATTGTGCAAATGGTATTATTTCAGAAAATAGTAAGAATCACATTTTTATGTTATTGTGTATTATATTTTGTTTTTGACAGCAAGCAATCTTACTTTTGATTTTCATCAGCTTTAGCTATGTGTCCAAAAATGTGTGCAAATGTATTTGGAATAATTCCTCTAGCTTGAGGTGAGGTCTTAGCACCAGACATAGTGTAAGTCTTGCCAGTGCCGGTCTGGCCATATGCAAAAATCGTTCCATTGTAGCCTTGCAACACCTTGTCCACTATAGGTCTGGCAGTCTCGTTGTAGATGTCCACCTGAGTCGAATCTGTGTCAAATACTGCATCGAAAGAAAAGACTTTTGGCGGTTCTCCTTGAGCTGCATTTGAATTCTCTATAGTGATCTCGCCGTTCAAAGCATCCACATCTATTATGTTTTTCGAGTGGGCATCGAGCTCCTTGCTGTTTAACGGTCGAACTCGCACCACCACCCTGACATTTTCTATTTCTCCTAATTCTGTCGTGCTGTCCTAAGTAAACATCATATTTTATAAGAATAGATCTCTCCTTTTAAAATTTAATTATTTTTTCCTAATTCTAGAAATGTGCCTCTAGAACTCTTGATATAACAATTAAGTGCATAGCACACTCCTGCTGTAACAGACTCAAGCTGTAGCAGACTCCAATAATAAAAACGCTGCGAAATATTGGAAATCCACTGTGTACATTAAGGTGAACTTAATATCGGCGTAAAAAAATTTATATTTTATTAATGATACACAAATATTAGTTTACGAAAGCATTATTATATATATTATTATTTAATAGTAAAAGTAATAATATTAAATAGATTAATTAATAATAAAATAAATATTAAACGCTATGAAAATCCTGCCTCGATTGCAGATTCGCAATCGAATTTAACGTTTAAAACTGCCGGGAGAATTCATCATTGACCTGATAATATATTGTTTCGGAGAGTGATACTAACTTCGGTCCCTGGCATCGTGGATCCGTTTACCCGCAACAGTCACATAAAAGCGCGCTTTTCTCACAGCATAATTCGTAAATGTCAAGTGGCACGTCAAAGAACGTCAGGCTAGCAGACGACCTCCATAAACGCGTAAACAGATGGATCGATTGCTTGCGGCTTGCGGCTGCTCGCGACTCGCGACGTACGATCTGCGATTACGCAAGTCTAACTAGATTCGCCAAACTTGCGGACAGCTGAGGCCATCTTTCCTCTATGATAACTACAAAATCAAAGTATCTTTATCGGCAGACAAAGGGAAGATCTAGTTTATCTACTGCCTACATTATTGAAAATTAGTCTACGTTACCGACAGATTAGAACCTTTCTAATCGAAATTTGAACTTTGAACAGCAGCAGGATCACAGTAGTTTCATTTTCATCACAAAGATTTTCACAATGTACCTCGTCCCAATATCTCGCTTACGAATTGTTGAAGAAGAAGCGGACGATGATCGAATGAAATTTTAAAACTAAATTCCCAAAGTACATTAGATTGTCATCAAGTAGATGTTCTTGTCATCTTTGTATAATTAAGTCGCAAGATGATTCTCTATATGGGACTCGACGACGTTGTCAGAAGACTGCTTCTCTATATATGAAAGTAGGTAAGAAATTTATCATTACAAAGTTATTTTATTACAGGGTATTCTACTTTTATACAGTATCACTTGTGATGTGATAAATCGATCGAATAAAACAAAGGTGAAATTTTTATTTTTAAAGTATCGTGGCATCAATAATTTTAAGATCATAACGAATCATTCTATGCAAATATGGAATTTAAAAAAAAACTTTAAAAGTGTAAATAATTAACTTAAAAGCTCATTCTATATTTACTTGCATCTAAAACTTGCTTTAACATAATCTTGATTTGAAACATGTATAATTAATAATACATATGTATGTGTTGTAAGAAAATTTAATATTTTAAACATTAGGAAAGTTATTACCGGCCATAACAATTATACAATATTTGCTTAATATAAAAGTTTTGCAGTTTGTATGTACAAAATAAGATAGGTCTCCACTCGGAAATGCGTGAAAGAATATAAGTAAACGTTTAAAAATGTATTTAGAAGCCTGGTAAAAAACATTTTGGTATGCAAAATTTTGCATAATAAAATCTTTTTTATAAAGCTTCTAAACTCACTTCTCAAAGTTCACTAATACTCTTTAATAAAATGCTGAGTGCGGAGTCCACTTGTTAGGCACGTGCAGATCACAAATTTTTTATGTTAAGTAAATGTGATGGCAGAAGCCGATAACAAAACTGTAATTTTTTAATTTTTTTTCACTTTTCATATGAAATCATAAACCCCGCACTCCGTTATTATGTATACTTTAATTATGGAAAAGGATCTGTTGATATCTGTAATCAACAAAAATATTTTGCATTTTAACTAAATTTGCATTCTGTTGGTAATCCGGCATCCTCTTAAGAATTGACAAAAATCTATTATTGATTAGCTAGAATCCGCTAGAAGTGAGACATCTTGTACAATATACACATGTATAATGTAGTATTCGATTTTCGCAATATTTGTATCGTGCAAGTTAGATTGTATTAATTAAGCGACTGATATAAAAAGCGCCCAGTTCACAATAGAAAAACATACGTGCAGAGATCCTGAGAGGAGGTACACGCACGCGTAACGCGTATGCATAAACACATACTTTCTATCGATGAAAGTTTTGAAACGTTCTTATCATCTGACTCTAACTTATACGTCAGTAGACCTACTTAAAAATTGATCGCGCCGCGACCTGATTATATCGATTAACAAAATTCTCTCATTTTTTATCTTTTATCATTTTCTCTTTTTTTTTTTCTCTGTTTCTATGTTATTATAATCTTCTTTCTTCTCTCTCGACTTTTTTTCGGACATTTAATAGAGAAAAAATAATATAATAATTAATTATGTCAATTATTATGCAAAATAATCTTATTTAGTGAGCGATGATTAAGTGTTAGACGAATATTTTTCTTATTGCCCTTCCTTCTTTCTCTTTTCCTTTCTTTTTCTGTCAGTCTTTTATTCGCTTTTTTCCCTTTTTATTTATTTTCTTTTTATCACTTTCCTATTTTGTCTCTTCTAAACTATTTACGTTTAGTAAATAATTAATTACCTTTTTAATAATTAATTATCTTACTCGCTTAGCAAAGTGATTAAATTTACAAAAATAATAACCCCAGCTTCATATAATATCCACTCTCGTTTATTTTCTTTTCTCTTTTCACTCTCTTGGTTTTTTTCATCTATTGTTCCTTTTATAATTTTTTTCTTTACTTTTTCTCTCATATTAACGCGATAAGTAGATAGAATTCATGTTTTCTACATAACAATTAATTATCTTATTCGCGTCTCTCGTTCGAAATAATCCATTTGGGGTCCAGCTTGGTATGAGCGTCCCTAACTGTTCATTTCTTTTCTCTCTCTTTTCACCTCTCGTTTTCCCTGATTTTGTCTCTCTCATCGACAGTTGCCCCAGCGTACCTTTCTCCACGCTAGAGCCGGCTTTGCGCTCCTCTTGTCTCCCCCCCAGTAAGCGTGTCGGTTCGGAGCTGAGCAGCAGCTGACGGACGTAACAATACGTTTTTCCCGGTGCACGGTAGCACTATGTGCCGCATGACTACTAGAAGGAGAGACTACCAGAAGAGAACCGCCACGATAAAGCGGCATCTCCGATATAGAGCGTCGACCAGCCGTTACACGGGACGCGCGATGTGAGCCCCCTTTGATATAAAACATACCAGGTAAGGCTCACAAGCTCGACTCAATCGAGGGAGCTCTAGTTTTGATCTGTTAGCTGTGTGAAAAGTCAAAGAAAGAAAATTGAGGAAAGATGCGATCGTTTCTCGGTGTGTCAAGATGATATTTAATCGCATTGTACTTGCATGAAATGGTGCAAAGTGAAAAATTCATCGACAATTATATGGTTGAATTTCCGAAGAAAATAAAGGATGCTAAAAATTTTGTGGAAAGAACGCTCGTTAATATAATTTAATATCGTTTGATGCTGCAATTTCATTTTTCGGACGCAAGAGATGCGATTATGAATGGTGTAGTAGTGAGACAAACAGAAAATTGTTTTCTAAATAAATGTGAAAAAAGAACTCGGACACAAATATAAAAGTGTAAAATAATACAATTGAGAAAAATATGTAAATTAATTTGACAATATTAAAAAGCATTTTTGAAGATCTAAAACGCAGCAGAAATCGTGGCTCTTTCGAGTGCGCATTTGATAACTAAAGAAATAATTTTGCGGAATAATCAATATATATAGTAAAGAAATAATGTGTATAAGTACTGCAAATGTATAATATAAAATATTGTGATGAAAACATTTGTGCGACTATGTGTTAATTGATTGTATAATATGTAGGTTGCCGGCGTTGCATTTTCCGCCGGTTCCTGATGTACCGCAAAATGCATGCAAGAGTTGTTAGTGAAATGTATGTCAAAGAGATGATATTTTCATATAAATTGCCAGCGATTCTCCCTATACAAATTTCTATTGGTTACGCAATAAATATGTAATATAATGAAATATATATATACTATATATATATACTATATATATATATATATATATATATATATATATATTTTGCATACAGTTGTGCTTACCAGAGTCAGTTTATCCTCTTCCTTTTTATATATATATATATATATATGTCCGATTAGCAGAAGACATTTACATGACGCTGTTGCGCTCACTCTATCTTCAGAACTTAGAACTCGCAGCATTATTGATCGATCGCTTCTCCGGTTGCACGAACACTAACGTGCAAACTAATCGCGCGAAAACTCGTGTTCAAATCTTATAATAACGTAGCGTATATTCTTGTATATATATTGGAAAACATGAGTATCTTGCAAATAACATTGTGTTGATTCCATAATGTACTGGTTTCAACCACGCAAGAGCGATGTAAAAACAATCGGCGCACGTCGAGTTCTAGCGGTTTATTATTGCCTTTGATTACGAAAAGTTACGCTTTTAATTTTAATGAATTCAGACTGTATTTATGTAAATTGCTCAGTGAAGCATATCATGATGAATGTCTCTCATCGAGTATATTATTAAAATGCTGTAGTTTTGCGTATTCTGAGAACACTTCAATCTAACGTTAGAAGATTAAAAATAAATATTTAAGAATTATCTTTAATCTTCTAAAAAAAATAGACTTAAGAATCCCCAAAACACTCATATATATATATACACACAAATATATGACAATATATTATATGTATATATTTTGCCTCTTGTATATTTGAAACCTATTAAGGATTAAATTACATAAATACACACACATTTACACTTTTTCTCTCAAAAATATAATTTCTAACGTAATATTGAATATTTGTTTTATAATGTTAAAACAAAATTGAAAAATGTATGCATTGGCGTTCATTATAATGATATAGTAGTATCTAATATCTAATGCATTGAGCCAAGCTTTATATCAGACTTAATTGTAAGCTAAAATTGACAATAAGTTTCATCAGCTCTTATATAGATCCGCCCTGTGTGTATATCATAACATGTCGTCGCGGAAAAGGAGGAAAAGGGGATTAGAGCTTTACCAGGAGTCAATAATCCGCACGCAGGCATTCCTCTCTTCTCAGGCTGACAACGAGAGAGATCGTCGGATATTTTCTCATCTGCTGTCTCGTTGATCACATTCCCTTATTATACGAGTATATATTTCTTTGTCTTTCAACGTAACATTAGGAGCAAATTGGAAATCGATTAATGTATAAGCATCACAATACACAGTGCTTTCACCAACATAATGAAGAAAATTAAAGAATATAATATATAGTACAGAAGGTGATGCATTCATCGATGCTGTTTTTTCGATCCGTTCAATTTTATTTATGAGCTTAAAATAAAGAAAAATTTTAAAGAATTTAATCACAATTTGAGAAAAAAGCATGCGGCGCTCTCTGTTGATGCTTCGTCTTCCCTTAATTGGCGATCACGCGCGATCTGAAGAAGTTTTCTTCTTAGTTACTATTTATGGACTCGAAATAAAGAAAATACTCTCAAAGGGTACAATTAAAAGTAAGAAACAGTATGTCCTCCTTCTGTCGATCTTCTCTCGTCTTTCCGTAACCGGGCAGACACGACTCGAAACAAAACTTTTCTTTTGCTACTC